TCGCTCAGTTTCCCCAATGTAACTACTGCCACAGACACAGCTTAGTTTGTAGATGCCAGGGTATTGCATATCAGGGATCCTATCCTCCACAGATGGGATCAGATCACAAATTTTACATACTGTGTTGAATCGAGCATGGATCTTGTGTTTGCTCAAGATTTTGGATGATGCATGTGCATTATGCGAGCCCTTTGAACTTGTCCTTCCTGTCTATTGTGTTTATTAAAACAGCCATGATCCCTATTGAAGTACGCTGCCCTTTGTAGGCATACATTTAAATAAGGTATTATTTGATGATTCGCTTCCTCGCAGTACTAAGGCGGTAGCTATCCGAATGGTTAAATGTATTTTCATTTCTTTCAATTTCGATAGATTATCTAATTAGTCTTGGCTAGTAGTCGCTAGTTTTGCACAAAACTTGAACATTATCAAAATAAATGTATTGTCCTTGTTGGCACGCGTGTTCTGCTACTGCTGACAGTTGTATTTTTGATAATTTAATATTCCTCTGATGTTCTTTTAGTCTAGTGCTGATCATTTGTCCTGTTTGCCCAACATAACATTTACCACACGTGCAGTTACTCCTGTACATACCTTCTGTTGATAGCTTCGGTAATGCATCTTTTGTACTAGATATTAATTAATGTATTCATGTACCGTGCCAAATCTGACTTGGATGTTTTGTTTTTACAAACATCTGGCTAGTTGATCAGTTACTTCCGCAATGTACGAGATTTTGATTGTTTTACTTACTTGGGCAGTTTCAATGCTCTTGTGATTTGATTTTGGTATTTAATGCCCTGTTGGTTTGTGCATCATTGTAACCGTTCATTTGCAGCGCTTCTTTAATATGCTGAATTTCACTTCTCAGACTGTGTCGGGTGGTGGCGGGTTTTAATGACACATTTATATATTTACGCGATCTAACCCAAAAACCTCTATTATGGATGATATTGGTCGCGAAAGCCTATGTGTTAAACTGACTCCTGCTATGTATGGCAAGGTGATGGTTTTGATTGGGTCCTCAGATGGTTCTTTCCCAACGGTTGGGGTGATAGCTTTACAGATTGTGTGGTCCGAATATCCATTAATCTTGAGAGCTTGGTGCACGTGTTTCAGTTCACTGGCGAGGTGATGATGGTCGGAGATACATCGAGCTCTATGGTGTAGAGTTTTGATGAGGGAATTCTTCTGAGATGCATGATGGTGGGAGTCAGGTTTTAGGTAGGCATCTGTATGAGTTGCTTTCCTGTACACAGAGTGTCCTATTGAGCCATCAGGTCTTTTTTTATTAGAACACCCAAAAATAGTAGCTTGCCATCCTTTTCCACCTCCATGGTGAATTTTATGGCTGGGTGTATGGAATTGATGTGGTTGAGGAATTGGTTCAGAGCTTATCGGCCATGTGGCCAGATGACGAATGTGTCATCTACGTACCTCTTCCACAAGGACGGACGTAGAGTGGATGCCTCGATGGCATCTGTGTCAAAATTTTCCATGAAAACATTGCTACAACTGGATAAGGGAGAACCCATTGGGGTACCTTCAACTTGTTTGTAGAATGTTCGATTCCAGGTGAAGTAAGTGTTGGTGAGGCAGTGTATTACCAGGGCCGGTACATCAGTATTCAGTCCTTGTTGGACCAAATCTTCAATGATTGCAATGGTGTCAAGCACAGGAACTTTGGTAAACAAAGAGACTACATCGAAACTAACGAGCAAATCACCTAGAGATAGTGAGATGTCCTTAATTAAGGATACCAAGTGAGCTGAGTTAAGTACAGCTGAGGTGGTCTTACCAGTGAATGGTTGCAAGATCTCAGACAGAATCCGGGCCAGTTTGTAGGTGGTTGAGTCAATCGTGGAAACGATAGGACGAAGGGATGTCCCTTCTTTATGGATTTCTGGTAAGCCATACGATCTGGGAGGGATCAGCAGAGGGTTTTAAGGAAAACCGTTTGGTTTGTTCAATTAGGAGGCTGTTGGTGGGATCTCTTTAAATTTTTGTTTAGCTACCATCATTAAGTAGGTCCTGAATTTTGTTATTGTATGTGGTTTTGTCCATTATGACCATGGCATTGCCCTTGTCGGCTGAGAGGATGATGATGTCATCACTCTTTTTTAATTAAGATAGCTCAACATGTTAATCCTTACTGATGTGTCTTGGCGTTTTTGAGGATTGCAGCGATTTCCGATTTTGCTATATCTGCTGATTTGAAACATGGTAGGACCAACACATCGGCCTTGGCTGATCATTGTTTTAATGCGGTTGGCTCACACGAAATTGATTTCTGTAAGACGAAGGTACTTTGTAAGCCCACTGGCTATCAACAAAGATTCGTTCATGAAGCCATCCACATATATACACAGACAATTTCAACCAAGAGGATGGGTACAAACTCAGCAATCATTGGAACGACGTCATCAACCTAAGTCATAACTGGCTGTGATGTTCCCATCCTGCCACCTTCCGATGTTCGTTTTTATTTTCCCCGTGGCTTCGGCTCTCTGATTTTACATTAACAGGTTAAAATAATTTTCACACCAACCTAGCCACCTCCGCGCGCTGATTTCGATGTGGCGGCGGCTCTGTGACCTTACATTAACATGCTAATCTCTCACATTAACATCACTAGCCCTGCCCACTTCGTTTATGACCGTTGGGCTACACCCATGTGTTGTGATCGAAACGTCGTGTTTTGATTTTTATTCATTTGAACCTATCTACCTGACTTTACCGAAAGACCCAAAGAATATGAATTCCTGCAGTCACGAACGCTTTAAGACAACATTGTAATCGTATTTAATTTAGTTGGGCTTTTTTTCTTCGTATGGTCTCAATTGGAAGTGGGGCATGGTATCGCACTGCACTTACCATCTGGTTTTAAATTAAGGCTTTTGATTGAGTGATTAGATTTAGGGGCTTGGAATAGAGTGCTCATTATGATTGTAGGGCAAATTGCGTAGGCAATTTCACACACGATTTCTTCCCGGCAGTGTCCATGGGCTGTCCAGCAATGCTCCCAGCAGACCAAGTGGCGTATTTCCAATTCACAGTCAATGGAGTGAGAAGGGTCATGGGTGCGAGGCATAACCAAAACCAAGCAAAGACAGAGCCCCCCTCGGGGCTCAAGGTGTGCTCTGATTAATTAAAACACTATATGGATACATCAAATAGCTCAAGTTCAAATGGTAATAAACATAACACACTCATTCACATAAAATATTATTAATTATATCATTTCCATCGTGTCTGTATCTCTCTTCTCTCACCTCGTTGCGTCGCTACAGTATAACTCCAGTTAGCCGTGCTAGTGTGGGAGACGCCTACCCCAGATCCAGTTATCTGTGGTGAGTTATCTTGTGTTTCACTCGGGTATCCAGGATTTGGACCCCAGAAAAAGCCCGGATAACTGGGGTTCTCGCTCGTATAACTCGGGTTTACACCGGGCAATTTACCGCTGATAATTGGACAAATGCCTGCGCCGGTTTGACATTCAGAAATGGGAATGGCTTCATTGGCGACCTTTCGTGGGTGGAGCACGACAGTCGTGTCCAAACTGGAAACGACCACCAACGAATACAAGCCAAACTGTCCTCATGTCACTATTGTTTACAATTTCCGCCTTGCGAAAGAGACGATGGACATTCGTGAACCCTGATCATGTTAACTTCAAGATATTGGCTGCTTAAAATCAAATGCTAAGTTTACGGTTGAACCCACATATCTCCGTTTTCGCATCACCAAGTGCAGTCCAAACGGCCTGTCATTGTAATTAGCCGCATACCTTTCAGCCACTATCATATCTCGTAATGTCCTCATTCAATTTCAAATCGTGTCCAGGGGTGATTCGGTACATTGTAATCTCTACATTGTCTGTGAGACTAGCACCACCTGCCGAGGCTGCAAGCTCAGTGCAGAGAAGCCAACTGGCTGTGTAATGGAAAGATTGGGACCCGGTCGTTATGTCTTTGGTATTTTACAAGTACAAGGGACCTGGTGCAAACGAGCAAGCCCCATGCACACTTGATTTGGAGTCACGTTGCCACCACAATGATCCCAATCGTATCCCTATCGCTGCATTAGGAGTTGTATTTCTAGATGAAAACTGTCAGCGAAGTTCTCAGAGCTGGGATAAAGTATCACATCTTGCTTTGGGAATGGCCTGGGAGGTGATGTCACTACGACTCGTGACGTCACACACAATGTCGCCCTCGCCCGACACTCGACCACGCTCTTTCATGCTCTTTCGAAGAACATTGACTCTGTATCGCTGGTCATCCCGTGTTCAGGCTAAAGGGTGCAGCCCAGCAGTCGTTTGCTGTTACTACTCATGGTGGAAGGGCCTCCATTTGTAGGGAACTCTAGAGAGCCTCCGTAGAGGGTATTTTGGCCTACTCTTTCACGCTGGACAGACATTTTGTATGCCGAAGTATCCCTCACTTAACCGCACCACAAGCAATCTGCCTCTCAACTGTTGTGTCCCCAATTGTACTCCTGGGTGGACAGAGGTGGCGGGGGGGGGATTCAAGCCCATTGTTTCAACTTTTGACCTTTGGTTTTCTAACCTCTGCACCACGACAACAATCTGCATACCACGCATATGCACATAAACAAAAGTATAAAGTAATAAAAAATGAATTTAAACTATTAAAACTATTTTTAATTTTAACAGGTAAGGCCCACTGAGCTATTTCAGAAGCGACCTGGCCACAAATGATAGCTCAACGAAGTGGCTTATCACGTGGACATTTATAGCAGCCAAATACTCTAAAGGCACGTTTATAAAAGTGCAAGGAAAAAATGGAAGACCCGGAGAAAAATCCCCACGACCACGGGGAGAACATCCATACTCCAAATATACAGGCGTCAGGGTCAGGATCCAACCCACGACCTCCTGCATATCAAGCGAGAGAGTTAACATCTTGCCACCGCGCCGCCTTCTCGTCATTCTGTCAGCGACTCGAAACTAACGACGGCTCCTTCCCTCCCCGTGGCAGTGCCGTTCCAGGAGACGCCGGCGTACACGAACCGGCGGCGCCACTTCGCCACCTCCGCCGCCGCCGCCGCCGCCGCCTCCGCCGCCGCGGTGCCCGGCTCCGCCGCTCACTGCCGCAGCTTGGCCCGCGCCGAGAGCGAGAACAACCTCCTGTCCTCGTCCATCCGCCGCGGCACCGCCGGGCTCTGCGTCATGACCATCGCGGCTGGGCGCGCCGGCAACGGCGCGGGCGGCACCCGCGGCTCGGCGGGCGCCAACTGCGGAGCCGGGGCCCAGCGGGCGGATCAGTGGAGCGGCCCCGCACGCTCGCCCGCGCTCGCCGTGCGCGGCCTGCCGCCGCAGTTCCTCAGCCAGCTGGGCGGCAGCTCGGAGGGCAGCGCCCGCTCGGCCGGCAGCTCGCCGCGCTCGCGCAGCCGCTCGCCGTCGCTGCACCGCGTGGCCGAGGAGGAGGAGGCGGCGCTCGGGGCGGACAAGACGGAGCCCCCGTGCAGCGCACCTCCCGTCGGGGTGGCCGCCGGTTGGACGGGGGGAGCGGCGGCGGCGGCGGCGGCGTCTGCGGCGGCCGCGAATCATCAGCAGCAACAGCAGAGGCTGACCTCTGTGAGCACACAGCCGAAACCGGTGCAGAAGCCAGCGCCGAAGCATCGGAAAGTGCATCGCAGGTCAGCGTTAAGAGTGTCACCAAACCGTTTTCCAACTCCTAAAACTTCATTTGGATTGCAAGTGGATGCCACGTAGGTTTTAAAATAGTTCCATGAGGAGCGTGCAGGGCTTATCTTCACACTAGGAGCCCGGAGGCAATTTTGGAAATGCTGCTTTCATTCATTTGCATCTCCAAATGAGAACGTTTGTTTACTTTTTATGAACATTTACTTCCTCGCCCTAGAGAGATGATGATGAAGATGAGGCTGAATTGATACTAATTGGCTTTTTTCCGAATTAATTTACAAGGTCAAATTAATTTAACCCACCACCAACTCTGATCAAGGATGATCCTGAATCTACTTTTAATGAAAATTCCAATTGAAAGTGTTTTCACATATGTGAGGTGTCACATAGTTGTAAGACGTCCTTTGGAGGTGTGAATTTGTATTCCAAATATAGGGCTCAGAGCACGTGTGACAATGAACTAGGGAACAATCCAGATAAAAACGGTTTAAAAAGTGCGTATTGGGCACATTCTCAGAAGTGAAGGTTAAAGAGAGAAGTTTTGGAATTGGTGTTGGGAAAGACGCCAAGGCGGTGGTGTGACATTCGGACACTGCTTTACAACTTGAACGAAGGTGGAGGGGTGTGGGGTGCTTGCAGTGATATGAAGAGGAGAGCTCAAGGTTGGGCGGGTTGCAGGGAGCTTTGAGGCAAAGGCCCAGCCATTGCGCAAGAGGACAAAAAAGAGAGAGAGGCCTATTCCATTGCCACGGCAGTGTTAAGACTGCGCAGCAAATGATGAGCAAGTCGTGAACTCGGACTGCATTACGTCTACAGCTCAGCGCGTCGCACATCAGGGAATCACTCCTGTCAGGCGCCACCCCGAATCACCTTTCTATCCCCTCCTTTTTCCGCTTGTCCGTCCCTTCTGGAACTCTTCGTGTCTCCTAACAGGTCCCCCAACCTTCCAATCAGATTGTGCGCCCTTGGTCGGCTCCTCGCCGTGTGACAGCTCCTCGCCAATGAGAGTCTAGCGCGTGCCGTGTGTGTGAACTCACGAGCCGTTAGAGCCGGTGACTCATGTTGTATTTCTTAATTAGGGTTCGCCTATTGGCGTCCCCTCACACAAGCGCATCCGAGCCTCGTGGCAGTTCACGTCTCGGAACCAGCAGGTGGCAGAATTGAATGCTTTAACGCATTGTGCTTCACTCGTTTTCAGAAGGGGTCCACTTTTCAGGGCCACGACTTCAAGCCTTCCTGACTGCAGGAATTCATATTCTTGGGTCTTTCAGTAAAGTCACGTCGATAGGTTCAAATATAATAACAATTTAATTTGAACCTATCTACGTGACTACCGAAAGACCCAAGAATATGAATTTTCAGTGCAACCTCAAAGTGGCCACTTTCAGGGCCACTTTTCACCGATAAGACATAATCGGTCTGAGGGCTGCCACACATTTGAAACCATTGGGGTTTGACAGCACAACGATGGGGTACTACAGGGGCCACACGAAAGTCCACCAGGGGCCGCGCTAAAGGCTGCCAGTGGCCGGCGCAGAACACTGCGTTAACAGAATCTGAGCTATGCGATAACGCCAGGTGCTTATTATGAATAATGGTTAAGGTTTTGTGAAAGAGGGGCATGATGTTGAGGGGGAATTTTTTTAACAGAAATTACATTTAGATTTTGAGAGGAGGGCATATTTTAATTATTTTTCGTCAGTTTGGATAATTCCTGAAACATACAACAAAAAATACTTACATTAGTCACTAAATGGTTTTTTTATGAAGATATTTTATGTATAATGTTATATATATATCATTATGAAAATAAAACTACATTTTCAGAGTGACCGCTCGTGGGACAAACTGCATCATACCTTCACAGAAAGGCTAAGGTAATCCATATACCCGTACAAATCTGTTGGGGCAAGTGCTGATAGTGAAATCACATTTAGTTTTGTCTATACAGTAATTTCTCTATTATTTTTGTGGCGTATATATATATAAATGGATCACCCTTTATATCACTAAGACCGCCAAAGTGGATGATGCAGTTATCCACCTCAATAAGAACACACCACAAAGCACATCGATCCACGAAAACATGTATTTTTAAAAATACCCACAATGCTCCACACTACTGACTCGACTACTGCAACGCCTTACTGGTTGAGATACCAAGCAAAGTACTGAGCAGACGCCAGCTTGCAACTGCTAGAGCGCTTACACGCACACCATTCCGTGAGCACATTACACCAGTCCGCTTATCTCTTCATTGCCTACCGGTCAAATACTGCTATTAACCTATAAGACTATAAAAGGGCTCACCCCACATTACTTGCAGCAACTAATACATTTATATGATCCAACAGAGTTCTTAAGATGTTCTGACCTCCAACTGCTCAGCACTCCCAAGGTATAGGTGATCGGGCTTTTGTTAGCGTGACACCCAAGCTATGGAACGCCTTGCCACGTGAAATCAGACAATCAGAGTCGGAAGATATATTTAAGTCTGCTCTCTTTAAACTTGATTTCCCTCTTTAGTTCAGTCGGTTGCCCTGTTTTTTTTTTACTAATTTTCATGCATTGTGCATTGGGATCCAAGGATGGAATGCGCATTAACAGGTCCTTGCAGGGTGGGCTGGTAGGAACATTGGAATTTTTTTTACACCCAACAGCACGAGATTTCACTTCGTTAAAGTATCAAAAGGGGACGGACGGACACATTAATCTATTGCAGGCTGGTACACTCAGTTTACAACTTCGTTCCTACCAGTATAAATTTTAAATATTATTACTGCGTAGAATCTCTGTTAATAAAAAACAATGTAATGATGCAATCGTATTTATGCCGTTGTGCATAATTCAAGGTCTCTCACAACTTCAAATTAGCAAGTGCGTAACACCATCCCTCTGCTGGTGGCCCTGAGCAAGTCATAGAGATTTCACATTGTCACTGTGGAGGTCAGATTTTCCATAGGCCAGCAGCCACTGTTGACTTCCCATAGTTGTAGCACAGTTGAGCTGCTATCCACGATCCTATTACTCATGTCTCTTCTTATCCATGGGAGCTGTAGGGCCAATGAAAACTCCTATTTTCCGTGGCCGTATTCTTCCTACTATTTACAATTTAGCGGTGTATGTTTTTTTAATCCATGAAAAAGTGGAATATATTTTGGAATAGCATCGCGGATGAGAGGATCCACGGTGTCAGTTGCCCCACATCGCCCGCATTGCTGGTACTTAATAATCAACAAGACAGAGAGCACAAAGGAGGAACCCCCGCATGAACCAGACGGTACAAACGAGAAAAAAACGTCAGCTATTCCTCACTCACATTGTGACCGTGACAGTTGATGACCTGGTTGTACAGACGGGAGGGGGTGGGGTGTGAATCATTTGACATCGACCGCTTTCTGCGTTCACTCTGCTGTCCTTCCCCCCGCGACCCCCCGATTAGCACGGTTGGCTACGTACGGTGCAAAAGAGGTTCGACATACGTACACGCGTCCTGATGGCCATCGTTATTCCCCTTGCAGCGCCAGCCTGGCTGGAAAGGACCACCTCCCCATCGTGAGCCAGGCCATGAGCCAGGCCCAGCCGTTCACGCTGATGGCCCCTCCGCCGGGCAGAGGGGGCCCCAAGCACCGCCTCTACAGCGCCGTGCCCGGGCGGACCTTCGTGGTGGTGCGGTCCCACCAGCCGCAGGGCGAAGGGGAGATCTCGCTGAGCCGCGGGGAGAGGGTCAAAGGTGAGGATGGGGGCGCCGTGGGCGGCTTGGCTCATCGTGGCCGGGTCTTGAGCCTCTGAGCCGGTGACACGAAGCAGTTGCTGTCGAGCGACGATCCAGCACAGCGCCCGCTAGTTCAGTCCAGTCCCGTACTCATCGGCGGGCGGTCATCTGCTATCACTCTTCTGTCGCTACTGCCGTTAGTTGATTTTCCCTTTCAACCTTGCTCAGTGATTCCTTCACCTTTTTTGAGGACTCAGTCTATCAGACTGACGGTTCCGTCCCATCGTCCGTGCCCTCTTTAACCACCCCGCTGCGGGTCACGACACTTTCTCGTTCCGCTTCTTTGCTCGCACTGCACGACTTTGGAGTTCCCTCTCAGAATTTTATTTCGGAAACTTTGTAACCCTGCTCAATTCACGATGCGTGTTACCCGTTATCTGTTTAACACTTAGACTTTCGCGAGCAATATCATCCGTGAAATAGTTATTTTTTTAGGTTAGATCGCCTGATGATGCTAGTTGTAATTACTGGCGAAACGTCATACTCAGATTGTAAATGTTGTGGATTTGCTCTCCAACCCACCGGTGTGCTGTACTAGTAACGAATTGGCATGTTCTGTTTATGTGACAAACTTTACAAAATGGCTGTGTCGGGTGGTGGGGGGTTTAACAACATATTTATATTTACGCGATCTACCCAAAAACAATTGTAATTTACCCATCATCTATTACACCCCGAAGTGCGCTGTTTGTTTGTGGCAGCTTCCACTATGGACATTTGGGCCTGTGCTCAATGACCATGATATAAAAAGAAAGCACTGCTGAGGTTATAGTTCCAAGCCCCTTGGTGCTGGGTGTCTCTTTTGGTCTCTAAGGGGGGTCACATTTTGTGAGGCAGTCACTGAGCCAGCGCTGCTGTTACAGGTTATGAGATAGCTCTGCTTGAGATACTGGGTTCAAGCCTTGAAGGTGTTTATTCTTCACCAGTAACCCCGCAATGGCCGTGCCAGGGCCACTGAGCCGGTACTGTGTAGATGCTGCTTTTAAGCCATGGACTTTGTGCTTCAGTATGTTTAGGTGTTTATAATGGCCATGTCAGAACTCTTGAGCAAGCTCTGCTGAGCTCAAAAATTTGACTTGTCAAGAATCCAATATTGACCTGTTCTCCCTTACCTGGCCTACACGTGGTCACTTTTAAATAAAAAAAAAATAACGGATAGGATATTTGTATAAATGAATACTTTTTTGTGTCCTTTATTTTTCCAGATAATCTGGTTTCCTCCCACATGTAAACACTCTATATTTGGCTGATAACACCTTCATATATAGAGTACCGCAAAACTTGGGCAATTGTTGGTATCGGCTCCTCGTGCGGCCACCTTCATGGGGTGTCTGTGGTTCCTCATGCATCCGAATCATTTTCCTTCTGCGAGAGCGAGCGAATACTGCAAATGTTAATAGTTGAAATAATGATAATTATTGATCCAGGTGAGAGACCAGTGGGATCCACAGACCTCGGAAACTTTAGCCAAACCAGCAGAGGTTTGTGCTTTGGGACTGATGATGTTAACACTCGCGAAAGCTTAATGGCTAAACAGGAGCACGCTTCATATGCTCCAAACAGCCACAAGGCGGCACTTGAACGACACCGTGAATGGTATCTGCATTCAACGTGCAGTTAGGGATGCCGGTGAGATGGAAATGGATAACAATTGTTGGAGGCTATCGAATTAAAAGTTCCAGTATTTACTAGCTTTACGAGCCAGCTTCGCCCGGGACTTGGATTCACTACGCCCGGCCGCCTTTGTCCCCCCAGTGGCGATGTTTACACACCACACCAGTTACTCGTTTGAGGCTGAGTCGACCTAGGGGATGCCCAGGACCGGTTGAAATAATCGTCACCGGTGGTGGCCGTGAGCGGGAATCGAACTCGGGTCGTTGGGTTCGTAGCGCGGTGCGCTAACCACTGCACTACAATGCGTTAGGCTTCCACATGTGCGTGTCACATGACAGATTTGACGTCAGCTTACTTGCCATGCAAAAAATTGATGCATTATTGAGCTCCCCCCCCCAAAAAAAAAGTGTATTTTCATAATTTTTTGCATGGTGTACAGTCTGGAAAGTACCCACATGGCAAATTTGTTGCATGTCGGGAAGTACGCTAAACATTTTGAACAGACACACATAATCACAACTTTGCCTTTTATACATATGGAGATTATCATAGTACCTCTAATTTTGACGTAACTTAAAAAAAAAACATGATGAATGTACATTTTTGAAATACTTGCATGTGTATTTTAACATAATGTCACGTGTACATCGTCTGCAAATAATATTTGGCCAGGTTGCGAAGCAGTAGCAATCAGCTGTAAGTTCAAATCCCAGTCGAGGGTCCACTCAATCCATTTCTGATAAATCAACGGCGCTTGTCTCGTGGATAGACGGTTCCCAGCCATTAATAAAAACGTGTAATTTCCACCACTGGCTTTGGCTCAGCAGCAGAAGAAGGAAAAAAAAACACTGCCTCATTGCTCACTTGAGGAAAGGAAACACCTTGTCGTGATTCATCTAGAAATGTAAAATAAATAATTTGAAATACCTAAAGCTACAACAAAACCCTTGTTTGCGATTGTGTGGATGCACGCAGCCACGAGATTACTCGCTACACTCAATCCTTGTCAAGGCCTTGTTTCCACGGCAAACAAGTGTCGGCTGACTGCCACTTTCAGCCAAGGAAATGTGCCTGTCCTTTAACCCCACTGCTCTAAGGGGCCGTCCATAAATGACGTCACGCGATTTTGGACATTTTTTGACTCCCCCCCCCCCCTTGTCACACGGCGTCACAAAAAGTCAGACCCCCCCCAAAAAAATATGACGTCACAAAGCTCTGCCCCCACCCCCCACAAAAAAAAACATGCTTCAAATCGCCTTAAACTATTGTCATTGTAGTGCGTATTTAATGTGTCGCTGCACTCTGATGTTGTAGGCGAAAACATTTATTAAAAAGTCTATTTAATTCAGTAGAACGTGTTGTCTATATGTATTTAAAGTTGCGCATTTTGATGTGACGTCACATTTCTCAACCCCCCCCCCCCCTTCGTCACACATCGTCACAAATGTCTGACCACCCCCCCCCCCCTGTTGCGTGACGTCATTTATGGACGGCCCCTAAGTCAACTTAGTAATTTGCCCGTGAAGAACTCTCTCCAAAGTTAAAACTGAGCTGGCGAATTAAATAAGGGGGCCAGTATAGACTCTGCCGTTGATGGCCGCATGCCGAGAGTCAACATCTCACATAGCCGATGTCATTTTAAATATTTTTTTGCCACTGGAAACATGACAGCCGTCATTGAGATGTTACAATTCGACACCTAGGAGGATTTGGATGTGGCTAAGATTTGTGAGACTCGTAGAGCCAACCTAACACATCCTGGCACAACATCCATAATAAGAAAATGCTGTTGTGTGCATGTGTGTGTGGGAGGTTATAGGCTATAGAAATGTTTTCTCCCAGCAAGTACATTAAGACCCTCGTTCAGAAATCTGCAGCAAAAAAATGTTTCAAGACTGGAGGCTGCGTTCGTACGTATGTACAGTGAGGGAAAAACTTATTTGATCCCCTGCTGATTTTGTTCGTTAGCCCACTGGCAAAGAAATGATCAGTCTATAACTTTAATGGTAGGTTTGTTTGAACAGTGAGACAGAATAACAACAATAAAATCCAGAAAAACACATGTCAAAAATTTTATAAATTGATTTGCATTTTAATGAGGGAAATAAGTATTTGACCCCCTCTCAATCAGAAAGATTTCTGGATCCCAGGTGTCTTTTATACAGGTAACAAGCTGAGATTAGGAGCACTCCCTCTAAGAGTGTGCTCCTAATCTCAGCTCGTTACCTGTATAAAAGACACCTGTCCACAGAAGCAATCAATCAGATTCCAAACTCTCCACCATGGCCAAGACCAAAGAGCTCTCCAAGGATGTCAGGGACAAGATTGTAGACCTACACAAGGCTGGAATGGGCTACAAGACCATTGCCAAGCAGCTTGGTGAGAAGGTGACAAAAGTTGGTGCGATTATTCGCAAATGGAAGAAACACAAAAGAACTATCAATCTCCTTCGACCTGGGGCTCCATGTAAGATCTAACATCGTGGAGTTGCAATGATCATGAGAACGGTGAGGAATCAGCCCAGAACTACACAGGAGAATCTTGTCAATGATCTTAAGGCAGCTGGGACCATAGTCACCAAGAAAACAATTGGTAACACACTACGCCGTGAAGGACTGAAACCCTGCAGCACCTGCAAGGTCCCCCTGCTCAAGAAAGCACATATACGTGCCCGTTTGAAGTTTTCCAATGAACATCTGAATGATTCAGAGGACAACTGGGTGAAAGTGTTGTGGTCAGATGAGACCAAAATGGAGCTCTTTGGCATCAACTCAATTCGCCGTGTTTGGAGGAGGAGGAATGCTGCCTATGACCCCAAGAACACCATCCCCACCGTCAAACATGCAGGTGGAAACATTATGCTTTGGGGGTGTTTTTCTGCTAAGGGGACAGGACAACTTCACCGCATCAAAGGGACGATGGACGGGGCCATGTACCGTCAAATATTGGGTGAGAACCTCCTTCCCTCAGCCAGGGCATTGAAAATGGGTCGTGGATGGGTATTCCAGCATGAAAATGACCCAAAAAACACGGCCAAGGCAACAAAGGAGTGGCTCAAGAAGAAGCACATTAAGGTCCTGGAGTGGCCTAGCCAGTCTCCAGACCTTAATCCCATAGAAAATCTGTGGAGGGAGCTGAAAGTTCGAGTTGCCAAACGTCAGCCTCGAAACCTTAATGACTTGGAGAAAATCTGCAAAGAGGAGTGGAACAAAATCCCTCCTGAGATGTGTGAAAACCTGGTGGCCAACTACAAGAAACTTCGGACCTATGTGATTGCCAACAAGGGTTTTGCCACCAAGTACTAAGTCATGTTTACAGAGGGGTCAAATACTTATTTCCCTCAT